ATCAACAATTACAACATCATCAGGTGCAAAATCCGGATCAGATCCCAGTGCAGAAACAACAACAGCAACCGCAACAACATGCTCACCCGGGGCAGCAACATCCTTTTCAGTGACAGCAGTAGCAGGTTAGGGGAGGGCCTGTGGTGGGTCCGAAGGTGGTGGTTTTCGGCTCTAGTGCATCCAAAAGTGTGAATTCCAAGGTTTTGGGGTGATGGGATGAGTTTAAAGGGTTCTCAATCGTCTTTGGGAGACTCAATAATATTTTTATAAATACCTCTAGGTTTCTCTATGGTTGAAGAGTTAAATGCTTTTATTGATATCGGGTAATCTATGGGGTATTATATGGATGGTTGTATGAAAAATATTCAAGAGTTGATTAATGAGTACGGAGATTTGAACGTTAACCCATGAATTGCCTTTCTTTAAATGTTCAAGGGTTAAGGAAGGAACCAAAGCACACATGGATAAAGAATCTGTGTGGGAAACATCATGTCTTGTTTTTGTCTTTACAAGAAACGAAAAAGAAGCATTTTGAATTGTTTAGTGTTCATTCAGTTTGGGGAAACTTAGATTTTGATTATCCTTATAGTGGTTCTAGAGGCTTATCGGGTGGTATTATTTGTGTTTGGGATAAATCTAGATTTCTGAAATCTCAGGTTCTTGTTCAGCCTCACTTTATTATCATTGAAGGAACGTGGCTTCCTTCTAATTCGAAGTTTTTTGTGATTTCTATCTATGCTCCTCAGTCTATTTCAGAAAAAAAAAGTAATTGGGATCATCTTTCTCGGGTTAGTGGAAGGTGGGATGGGGAGACTATTATTATGGGTGATTTTAATGAAGTTAGGTGTGAAAGTGAAAGATATGGGTCGATTTTCAATGCTTCTGATGCGGGTGTTTTTAACAATTTTATTGCTACTGCTTCTTTGTTTGACGTTCCGCTTGGTGGGTTTTCTTTCACTTGGTCTGATAGAGTTGCGGGCAAGATAAGTAAGCTTGATAGAGTCCTTATTTCTTATGGTCTTCTGGAGGTTTTCCCTAATATTTCAGGTGTTATTCTTGACCTACATCTATCTGATCATCGGCCTATTTTTTTTAAAAGAATCGGTTATTGATTATGGCCCTATGCCTTTCAGAGTTTTCCATTCTTGGTTTTCTGTTGATGGGTTCGAGCACGTGGTGGTAGACTCTTGGATGAATGATGGAATTACTGATTCCAATGCGATGGTTGGTTTAAAAAAGAAATTACATGTATTAAAAAAGAATCTCAAGTTATGGAATTCTCAAGTTAGAGAGTCTCGGGCTACTTCTAAAGTAGAGATTCACAAGAAACTTGTTGATATTGATCGTAGAATTGATCAAGGTCTAGGTGTGGCTTCTGATTCAGTGGACCGGGTGGCTCTTCTCAAAGAAAGTGTGAAGATAGATCAAGTTGAGGTGGCCGATATGGCTCAAAAAGCTAAGATTAGATGGGCTATTGAATGTGATGAAAATTCTAAATATTTTCATGGTATTCTGAACAAGAAGATAAGAGAACTGGCAATTCGTGGTATCCTGCATGAAGGCGATTGGACTGATGATCCGTCATAAGTGAAAGTTGAGTTATTGGAGCACTTCAGAAATCGGTTTGCCAAGCCTATGGCTACTCGTGGCTTGGTTAATCATGAATTTCCTAATATTCTTAGTTCCGATCAGGCCGCGATTTTGGAGGATGATGTGTCTCCTGAGGATACCAAGAGAGTTGTGTTGGATTGTGGGACTGATAAATCTCCAGGACCTGATGGTTTCTCTTTTGATTTTATTAGACGGTTTTGGCATATTCTTGAGAAAGACTTTGTTACAGCTGTTAAGGAGTTTTTCAAGTCTAGTTCCTTTCCAAAAGGGTGCAATCCGTCTTTTATTGCTTTGATTCCAAAAGTTAATGACATAAAATTGATCAAGGACTTTAGACCCATCAGTCTTATTGGTTGTCAATATAAGATCGTGGGTAAGATTTTGGCTAATCGTTTGGTTACTATGATTGACGGGTTGGTTAGCCAGGAGCAGTCGGCGTTTATTAGAGATAGACAAATTCTGGACGGGCCTTTCATCAAGAATGAGGTTATTTCTTGGTGCATGAGAAAGAAAAAGAAGGTTATGGTGTTTAAAGTAGATTTTGAAAAAGCCTATGATTTGGTTAGATGGGATTTTCTAGATGACGTGCTCCGCCTTATGGGTTTTGGCCAGATCTGGAGGCGTTGGATTCAAGGGTGCCTTCAGTATTGTAGGGCCTCTGTGCTTGTTAATGGAGCTATTACGAATGAGTTCCAGTTTTATAGAGGCTTAAGACAAGGGGATCCCCTGTCTCCTTTCCTTTTTATTTTGGTTATGGAGAGTTTGCATGTTGCCTTTAGTAGAGTTGTTGTCCGTGGGCTTTTTTCGGGCATTCATATTGACTCGGATGCTGATTTTTGTATTTCTCATCTTTTCTATGCGGATGATGCTATTTTCTTGGGGGACTGGAAAGAATCTAATGTCTTTTCTATTGACCATGTATTTCGGTGTTTCTTCTTTACTTCGGGTTTGAAAATTAATCTTTCTAAGAGCTCTCTTCTTGGTATTGGAGTTCCTTTTGAGCAGGTGTCTATCTTGGCGAATCATATGGGTTGTGGTACTATAACTCTTCCGTTTCCGTATCTTGGTTTGGTTGTTGGTGGTATGATGAATCGAATTTCGTCTTGGATAGAGGTGGTGGCTAAGATAGCGTCGATGCTTTCTACATGGAAAGTTAAGACCCTTTCTATTGGTGGTAGACTGACTCTTATCAAGTCATTCTTGGTTCTATGCCTACTTTTTTATGTCCCTTTTTAAGGCTCCGATGTCCGTTCTTCAGCATATTGAAAGCTTGCGTAATAACTTCTTTATTGGTGCGGATTTGGAAGAGAAAAAATTTACGTGGGTTTGTTGGAAAAAAAATTAGCGCATAAATCTAATGGTGGTATGGGGGTGAACAATATTTTTGGTCTTAATTGTGCCCTTCTTTTCAAATGGGTGTGGTAGTTTCTTACTTCTCCTGATGCGCTTTGGGCCAGAGTTGTTAGGGTGATTCATGGTGTCAGTGCTTTTATTGGTGTCTCTCTGCCTGCAGGGAGTTCCTCTATTTGGATTGATATTTTGAAAGTTGTTTCCCAGATTTCTGAGAAAGGTTTTGATCTTCTTCGATTTTGTAAAAGAAAGGTAGGTGATGGTGCTATTACTTCTTTCTGGGAGGATGTTTGGTTTGGTGATTCTCCGCTTAAGCTTTGTTTTCTGAGACTTTTCAATCTGGAGTTGGATAAGCATATTCGGGTTAAAGATAAATTTCCCCACTCTTCTTTGTTGTTATCTTTTCGCATGTTGCCTAGGGGAGGGGCCGAGAATATGCAATGGTCTGAGTTTCGAGCTTTGATTGATGACGTTTCTTTAGCCCTTGTTAAAGATAGGTGGGTGTGATCCTTAGTTGGTGATGGGGAGTTCTTTGTGTCTTCATCGTGTGGTTTTTTATAATGTTTTGTTACCTACGTCTTCTTCTCATACTCGGTGGTGTAGAGTGGTTTCGATTAAGGTGAATGTGTTTGCTTGGAGGTTGTCTTTGGATAAACTCCCCACGCGTGTGAACCTAGATAGACGTGGTTTGGATAATCCTTCTTTACATTGCCCGGTTTGTGATTATGCTTCGGAGAGTTCTAGTCATCTTTTTTTCTTGTGTCGGCTTGCCTCGGAGGTCCAAGTTCATATTTGTCGTTGGTAGGGTATTGATGCGTCGAGTATTTTCTCCTTCTCAAGTGTACTTGGTTAGAAGGTCTAAGGCTTTCTGGGAATTTGAAATCTTGGTTGGAAAGCATTTTCTTCTCTGCTTGGTGGCATATAAGAAATTTTCGTAATGTTATGCTTTTTGCTGCTTTGAAGCCGAAGTTTGGAGATTTTTTTGATAAGTTTGTCACGCAGTCTTTTTTATGGTGTAATGCTAGGTCAAAAAACAATCTTAACTGGGTGGGTTGGCTTCAAAACCCTATGTGTGTTGTTGCTTGATGTTTGACTAATTTCTTGCTAGTCATTTTTTTGTTTTTTTTATAAAATCTTCAGTCGTTCAAAAAAAATCTCATTGCACCGACCAATGTCATCTGTACTAGTGAATAATGCCACATGGCAAAATAGGGTGTAGACAAATGGAAGATTTTTTTATTAAAAGAGATAGATAGATTACTCAATTTACATATATTTTGTTGTAATCTTCATGTATTTTAGGAAGTGAGTTGCTATGTAGCAGGATCTACTTATAAACTATTCCTTAAATCTATATATGTCCACAAGAGTACATGAAACCTCAACCTCAAGGAAGGATGATAACACCTGATACCGTTGGGCTAAAAGCCCTTTGGTGTCGACTATGTGATACTATGATATGAGACCGTGGGTTTCCCATATTAAACACAACATTCGGCTTGTTTGATTGTTTTATTTCATTATTATGTTTAACTATGATATACACGAGACATTGTGTTTCTTAAAAAACAAGGTTCAAGCAAAATATCTTCTCAACTTGAATCACACATAATCATATTACAAAACTGACCTGTAACATGATTAAGAGGATAAGAGGCATAATCACGAAAAGTAAGGTTTGTCATGAAAAAAAAATATTTAATTAAGATTATATGCAAAAAAACTAGCAACTTATTTCCAATATATGAAAAATAAGTTTCTATTAAATGAATGTTACAAAGGTCAACCATTATGGATGCTTTAGATAGATATCTTACTAGACATGGGTGCAATTATCAACACAATTAATATACAAAATTCTCACCTTTATTAATCCATATTAATCATACAAATAACTTGCCATACACAAGTACATATCTTTACACACCTAATACTTACAACTCGAGAATCTTTAATCCAATCTTTAAATTTGCTACTTAGGACCTTTAAAACATCATCAAATTACTCATATATCATACAAAATACTAGATTAAGACACCTTAATGATACACACTTGTTGAAGATTCAAGACACTCTTTGATCATCTCCTTAATCTTTACATTCATCATCTTATCTTTCACACTCGCAAGCATCTTACAATAAAACATTTCAAGTCTTACAAGCTTTCCATAATCACAACTCTCCAACATATTCTCCCACTCTTTACCAACATCATATGAACTCTTTAAAGACACCAATAAATCTTTCTCCTCTTCAAAAGGCTTCCCAAAAATCATACCATGAAGTATGCTCGCATAATGCTCCATTGTAGAAAGCTTAGAATGTAACAAATCTATCTCTTTTATTGCAAGATTGAGTTCCTTTTTCATCTTTATGATCTCAAACGAATCTTTTTCATCTAATTTCTCACTTTTTTTAAAATCTTCTTCTAGTGGTGGCCATAACACAAGATTGGGGGCAAAAAAGTCATTTACTTGACCATTTCCAAGAACCCCACTTCTCCCTCTCCCCCATGACCAAAGCTTATATCCATTATCTGCAAGAAGAACAGTATGTGCAGCCCCACAAGCTACTTGTACAGGATCTTGAAAGCAAGGGTATTTTAGTCCATTACACGGTATCAAACGTGGAGTAACCGCATCTCCACCTTCACTTTCTGTAAGGCCTAGCCCATTTCCCATTCCAAATGACCAAACATACCCCTCTGATGAAACAACACTCGTATGAAACAACCCACAATCCACTGATATCAACCATACATTTTCAGGTATCCCTTCAACGATTTCAGGGTATAGAGAATCCTTACTGGTGCCCTGCCCGAGCTGCCCGTGATCCCCAAGTCCAAAACTCCAGCATACACTTTTTAACATGTCGCCATCTGTTTTTGAGAGTATAGAAGTGTGAAAGGCTCCACAAGCTACTTCATATGGTGTGTAAGATGATTCTTGATTGAATGTTTCAATGATTTGAGGAGTTGTTCGAATCTCTGTGTCTCCTAACCCTAGCTGCCCGTGATTGTTGTTGCCCCAGGTATAGCAAACAAGATTGTCATCACCTTTATATGTTTCTCCAGTGCTAACTAATGCTACAATGTGTTCATTTCCACATGCTACTTTGACCACAGTTTGACCATGGAAGTTCCAAACGGGTATTGGAGTGTATGTAGGGACAAGAGAGAATTCACCTTCTGTTAAACTATCTTGTGGAGGACAGTTTCCCCACATCCAGAGGGATCCAAGGTTGTCTATGGCAAGTGACATCATTCCTCCAGCTTTTTATGGAAGAAATCTGGAAGAAGAAGAAGAAGAAGAAGAAGTTGAATTCGTGATATAAATTATCAGAAATTTGAAAAAGGAACGATGAGGAGAGCTTAATTTGAAACCTGAAGTCGTGTTTCAGTTTTTGTTATTGGTTCGTCTATCAAGGAACTGGGAGGGTGTAGCTCATTGAAGACCTGTACCAGAGATGGAACTAAGGAGTTCTCTCCATTGACCCCGAGTTGACCATCTATGGTGGTGTGAAGGATGCAAAATATCATACTTATAGAACTGAATCAGAGCTTAATAAGAATGAAAAAAAAAAATCACGAAAAAGATACAAGTATTGTGACCCCAGCTCCAAACTGAACCATCATCTGAAACAATTAGAGTACGTCAAATAATTCGATTCTTCTGTTGATCGTATCTGTTTCGCTAATCTGTTAATTTGGATAATTTTTGTGCTAAAAGTTTGTATTCGATGTATTTCTAAGCTTGTTAATGGAGATAATTGGATTTTGGAGTGCTTATTTGAGGTTTTTGAATGCGAAAAAGAAGAAGAAGAACGTGGAATTTACCAGAAAGAGCGAGACTGTGGTAAGAACCGGCTGATACTTGGACGATTTTGACCTTTTCTGTGGAATTAAATTCAATTTTCGCCGGAAAAAGGCGATCGAGCTCCGAACCGGAGCCAAGGCGGCCGAAAGTTCCTCTTCCCCATGAATACACACTCCCATCACCTTCTCGCATAAAATCAAAAATCGAATCCCTACATTAGCTACATCATTTATTTATTACAAAAGTAATGAATAGAGATAGAGCTTAGATGAGTTTTCATTACCGGTGAGAGCGAGCGTATGAGCTTCTCCGGCAGCAATTGCAATTACTTTCCGAGATAGGCTACCTGAATCGACATATATTCCGGCGTCTGCCATGATCTCCGGCTAGAGATCGATATCCAACTTTCCAATCTCCCTCGCATTTTAGTTTTATACAGTTTGGAGCATGATGTCATAAATATATTCTATTAAGTTATTCATTTTTTTCCTAAGAGGTTTAAATAATTATGTTTTAATTTCATTACATGTTGTAAAATCAATCAACTTCTATTTATCTCATCAACACTCTAATCAAGGATTAAAAATCCCATTAAACTTCTTTCTCTAGATTATTAACAAGTCATTTCGTAAATCACATCAAACCTCCTTTTCCAATTTTTACTAGAGTGCATCCAAACTAAATAAATAAATAATAGTGCTTTTTAGTGAATTTTTTTTAACTTAAAATAAAAAATCTAATGTTATCTTATTCCTTGTTTTTATCATTTTATTATTGTTTATTCTATCTTTGTTTGTGTAAGTTTTCTATTTATAATTGGTTCAAATTTATATGGCTTACCAAATTATTGAAAAAACTCATGACAGTAATATGTTAATTAACATTTTTTGGGAAAAGTTTTGGTTCGAATAAGTTCTTCCAATAGTTTTTCAATTGTATAGGTTTTATATAAGTTTCTAATCATTTTTATATCAACAGTCACAATCTATAAATAAAAAAAATATATATTTAGATTTTTTTTATAACGGAAAATTTAATCTATTTATAAACTACTTTTAAATCCATATATATCAAATTTGAACTCTCGACCTAAGTGAATGATGACAACACCTAATATTGTTGGGTTAGAATCATCAATCTCATCTTGTAGATGTTTTAAGGCTATATGTTATATTTATCTTTATTCTTTCATCTTTCGTTACCATATCAGTGTTACTGTACTTTTCTTCTCCATCTTTCAAATCATGTAATAATCATCTTTCATCTCTAATTAATTTATTATCTTTCGATAAAAATAATAATTATTAATTTTAAAATATTTAACCTACTAAATAAAAAATAATATAAAATTACTAATAAATAAATAAATCCACTAATGTAAACTAAAAAAATTAAAATCTTCATAATAAAATAAAATCAAATCACTTCTAACTAAAATATATAAACCTAATATAATAATAAATGAATATCTAGTCTTTGTATTCGTAGTAACTAAGTTGTTTCTACGATTGTTGTGAAAAAAATTATATTTCACTCACTCGAAGATGATAACGAAAACGATATCATCTTTCAGTTCTTAAACTTATGGTAAATAGAGAGTAAAATAATTGTGTAACAAATATTAAGGATTAAATGGGTATTTGTTGGATGTCAAAAAGTTATAAAAAAAAATCAATAAAAAAAGTGGTCAAAAATGAGAAAAATAAACAAATGCCATCGGGGACGCCACCATGGCATGATCAAAATTCAACAAGGTCGTTCTAGAGAACATTGTATCCCCAAAATGACCGATGTGCCATATCAGCAGCCGCACCTTACAGGTGGGTATAATATAACATTTGGTTTAATTAAAAGATTTATTAATGTTTGTCAACTATCTTATTTACAAATTAAAATTATACTAAATTAAAATTATAATCTACTCAACAAACTCTTTTGATCTTATGAACAATCACTTATTCAAACTTGATATTTGGAGTCTTTTGATATGCATCTTCATTGTACTTATCATTTTTGCTACAAACTCATTTGTACAAATCGACAAAATGGCTTTAAATTTAGAATAAAGTCAAATTTGGCATAATAAACTAAAATCGAATTTGGATTATAATTTTAGGGACTTGGACATTTGAACAAACATCTTTATTATGATTTATACGTGTAATATGTCATATAAGACGTTTTAAGATTTAAGATTTTTTAGAACAAGAAATCAACCTTCCAAAGTCGCAATCAAAAAGTATGTCAAAAATAGCAACTAAACAACTTAGTTCATTTAATAGGTATGTTTTTATTTTTATAATGGATTTATTGTTTCCAGATAGAATATCACTTTAGAGCTATAGTTATGGATTAGTTGAGTGTGAAAATAAAATGAGCGGCTGAGATAATACTGATTCCAAACATAGCAAAAAATCCATAAGATCAAACGTGTGTATGTTGAAATCAGATAAGATTTATCATTTTGATGTTAGATAACCTAAAACGATTTGTTATTTTGATGTAAGAAAACCTAATAGGACAGCTCCAATTTCTTTTCTATTCTCAATGGAATCGATTTTTTTCAATATTTGCAAATATGTTTCTTAACTCATTGCAGTTCATGACGTAAAGGCGTATATGATCGGTTTTGATAACGAATAAAAACATGTGACTTTTTTTGAACAATTGAATTTCCAAAAGAACGAGTGCAAAATAATACCAACTTATATTGTGTCTCTTTTAGCTACTTAGATTAAAAAACAACCGAATTCTAGGTCATATTTAAAGGAAAAACATGAGAAACATTCTCCACTTATATCCAGCAAATAAGGATACGAATGAAAATGGATAGGGATGGGATAAGGTTGACTATTCTTGTCCCTATTTCTGAGTCTAATACCATGTCCAGGGCCGGTCCAGATGGTGGGCAACCCAAGAGTTTTCAAACTCAAATTAGCTCAAAAAGATAAACAATTTGGATTACTTTTTATTGCTAATTGAACACATCTATAATGAAGAATAAGTGATATTTTTTTTAATCTTTATTATATTTGTCTTTGAGGGACCATTTTTTTTCTTTTTGCCCTGGACCTCATATACATTTGGACCGACCCTGCATGTCCCCACCTAGGCTTGCACAAAAAAACCGGTTCAGGATCCGAACCGGTCACTGAACCGGTAAACCGGTTCACTACGAACCGGTCCACTATGAACCGAACCGATTCAAGAACCGAACCGCCGGTTCGCACCCGTTCGAGATTTTAGATATTGAAACCGGTTTAGAACCGGTTTAATAACCGTGAACCGGTTTGGAACCGGTAGTCAAACCGATCGAACCGGTTTAGAACCGATTGAACCGGTTTAGACAGGTTCGAGATTTTCTATGACGGAACCGGTTTGAACCGAACCGGTTTATGGTTGAACCGGTTTTACTATTCACGAATCTGAACCGAACCGGTTTACTGAACCGGTTCGGTTTGAAAAAAACCGGTTTGTTCACCCCTATCCCCACCTGCATTCCCATAATATCCTCCCCTTTTGGAAATTGGGCTCATCGACGCCCCATCCCTCCCGACCCATTGACAAAATAAATTATTCATTAAATAAATATAAGTTCCAAAAAACTTAATAGTCCTAATAATGGTTAAATGTCATTATAGTCCAACCAACTTTTGTTTTTTGTTTTAAATGATCACTAAAGTTTTTTTATTTTATTTATTATTTTTTTTCTTTATGGCTCCTTAAACTTTCAAATTACAGGTTAAATAGGGTAATTTCCTCAAAATGAAGGGGTCATTCGGTTGTCTGGTTAAATTGGCTTCCACATGGCAGTTTGGTCAACTGAAAGTGGTCCAAATTGCACTAACATGGCGTTCACGTGGATTAGTATGTTAAAAGTTTTTTTTTTTTAATTTGGAAATTTGGAAATTTAGAAATCTCTCTCTATCCTGATATACTACACAGGAAGCTTGATTTACGATGTCTCTCCATCTTACATACATACATAGTTACACACACAACCCAACAATGAAGCAACAAAACCTAGTAACATCTGAAACTTGTTACTCTGAAACTGGTTCATATGGACCATACCCACCTTCTCTAACCCTTGTTCCAACTTCAACTTAGACAATCCGGATAACATCTCTGCCAAGAATCGGGTTCTTTAAGTAGTGTTATGATGCAATTTCAGGTGTCATCTATGAACACTAGGATATAATAATCTTTCAAAATTGAAAATAGATTCATCAAAGTGTTGGTCGTAAAAATCGAATTAATATTTGAGAATAAGAAACTTACATGAACAAATTGATTAGAGTTCTTCCATACACACATGCATCAAAATCACTCACCGTATCACTTTCCTCTTATACCACAAAACCCCTCCAATCAACCCACCACCTCTCCAAGCCAGAGACTCCCTCCTTAAAAGTTGCTTGCACAAGAAACTCCTTTTTCCCTACTTGTTAATCTTGTACAGGAAACCCATCGCCTATTCGAAACTCCCTCTTCCCAACTCGTTAATATTGGCGCCTCGCAAAAACTCCGACTACATATGAAATCAAACCCACTTAACACAAATCTGATTTCTCAGCAAAACACTATTAGCAAATTCCGTCTTGGGATCTAAGCTACAAGTTGCATTCACATAAATGTCCTTGTATAAAGGGTCACGAGCCTTGATCCAACTGGGATTAGCGGTTAATTGTAAGATCGATGATTGTTTACGAAAATTTAAGGGGTGTTTGGGATTACTTTTTAACCTCAAAAGTCATTTTTATAAAAGTCCTTTTTGACTTATCTTTTGAGAGGACAAAAGCCAAAAGTTGTTTTTAAAAAGTGTTTGACTTGCATTTATTGGATTTTGAATGTAATTTACCTTTTAAGTGGCTAAAAGTCACAAAAAGACAACATTTCTTGATTTTTGAAAAACTGTCGTTTTCTTCTTGTCAAAAAGTTAGTTTCAAAATGATTTTTCTAATTGCCAAACATCTTTTTGAATTTTTTTGACTTTTTGGAAAAGCCAAAAGTCAAAAAGTCATTTGAAAAGCAATCTCAAACACCCTCTTAAGATTTATATGGTTGGATTGCATATTTAGTACAGAAGAAATGGATGAAGATGAAGATATCCATGTGGTACAACAAAGTATGGCGTATTCTTCAAGCCTTAAAAATGGGGGGATGACATCCCAAAAGTAATTTTATATAAAAAAAAGCCATATGGACAAGTTTTCAATTCAAAAAGAACAAAAAAAATCCACATACACTACAACTGGAATCAAATGTGATGGTTTCCTTTTTAACAGGTAAAATGGAAGTTTAAGGACATACGACGCACAAAAAAATCATTTGTGACCATTTAAAACAGAAGACAAAAGTTGGTTGGGCTACAATGACATTAGCTCGTCCAAATTATATAAGTTAGATTAA